TACAGTATTTTACTCTGGCCAACATTACTGCAGTCTGAAGCCAGACATTACATACTGTTCTCCAGAAATATTTACTATTGGAAAAATCTTGACATTTGTTGCTTAAAGTTCAGAAAAGGTCTGCAGGGTTAATGCTACAATTGATCTTTGAGATTTCCAATGGCAGTCACTCCATACCACCAGTGCATATGTAACATATCCATGGCATGAAAACAGACAGGCTGTCAGATTTGATCAGAACCATAACGAGCTCTTTGCGTCATTCCTTTTCTCCACTGACTAAAATAATAATAAAGTGAACGATGAGAAGGAAAATGGTTGCAATCACTGAGTGAATGGGAATGGGTTTTTATGTGTTCACCACATGCATTCACGCAGACTTTCATCTGCAAATCCATCTCTACAGACAGAGCAGGTCAAACTGTACCAATATACTGTGGAAAGTTACGGGAGTGGGAGACATCATGGAGAGGTGAAAGAGCCAGAAGGAGGCGGACAACACAGAGGGGAAGTGGGAAGCTTGGTGCAACCATTTACATAAACATAACAAGTGTGGGAAGCAGCAGTAGGTTAATTATGACATAATGCTCTGTGAGTTATGCAAATCACAGTCTCAACTACTAAACACTGAATCTCATTTTTCACTGTATATCATTTCAGCACCTCACCCGGCGCACGCAAATTATCCTCCCCTGAGCAGGTGCTCCTTATATTGAATCTATTCTTCAATTTTTAACTGTCTGCTTTCTCTAATATTGAATTTCTATTGAAAACAAATGACATAAAGACTGAATATCTTATTTTAATTGGCAACTAACAAGAGTGGAGCCAAGAGGTTATATCCAGTAAACATTTTTCTACCGCACTCACATTTGAAGCAGGAAGTCAAAAATCCAGAGTTGAAATTTTCAGCTGCTCATGTCAGATTTACCCAGTCAGTATTAGCCCCACCATCCCCAACTTCACAATCCAACATGGCAGCAGTGCTTTTAAACAGTAGTAGAACATAAATTAGCCAAACAGAGAAGACTGAACAAGTCAGCAGAGAAGCACCTTATACCTGCATTCTCTTTAAAGGCCAACAGGGGGCAACAGCTCTGTAAAAACATTTCCTCTCCTATAAGCATATGGGAAAACGGCTCTGAGATTTGACCTCTAAACTCTTTGCTGACTAGTTTATGTGATCAGTCGCTTGTTTTGGGCCATGCTGAATAAAAATTAAGTCTATTTTGTACATTTTAAAAATAGAGGATATGCTCATGAGCTAACAGCTTGAGTTTGATCAGTTGATAGCCAAGGAGAATACGATATCGCCACAATGACGATGGTGAAAACACTTCAAAATGGGTCTTTGCAAACCAGTGGGTGATTTCACAGTGTAGATTAAAGTGTAAAGTGTAAATATCCTATGAACTTTATCAACAATTAAAACATTTTTAATATGTATGAGTCCTTGCGTTGTACTGCTAGATAGATGGCAGTGATTTATCATACTGAGAGGAAAAATAATGCAATGTAAATTTTTGTGCTACCTTGGTGTAAATTTGTGGTGTCAGCCTATAAAAATGATGTAGCTCAGACAGTGGCAAGAAAGCTTTGTGTGTTGCACTTGCAGGTTTGTTCTTCATTATGATGGACACAGGTGGGTTGGCAGTTCAGACCTCATTGCCTTAAAAGTTCTACATTTATGACTGTATTCTCGAAAACGATGTGCCTATCAGCATGATGTAAGGCAGATTTGTCATCTGATTACACTCCAGTCAACTCAGTGGAGTCAGTAAAGTCAAAGGAATTCAAAGAAACCTATATCTATAATCATTTCATATCTTTACCCAAGAGGCAAAGGGCAGACTGACACCCTGAGTTGAAACTCATCTGACAGTTTTCCTGGCTTGTTTGAAAAAGAGTAATGCTTTTGTAAAACCTGAAATAACCTGCGAGAAGTATCCTTGCAAGGTCTGTGTCTTTTTGTTTTATTCACTAACTGGGCCAAGCTTTTATAGACTCACTTTTAAGCCATCCCTCTGCTAGTATTTAATCCTGTTGTTTGTTCTGCATTTTGTTTCTCACCCTCTCTAAAGTACTTTGTTAACTCTGTTTTTAGAGAAGTGCTATATAAAGAAAGTTTATTATTATTCAGGGTCACGGAGGACTGGCTGATTTCCCAGGATGCATTAAGCAAAAGCAGACACTCTAAACACAGTGCCAGTTTACAAATGGACGATCACTCACAGTGGACACTTACGCCAGTTGTAAGTTTAGAAATGACTACATTCAATTCTCTGTTGTCAAGAGGCTCGCAAATTCATGATGTCGAAGCTGGCTGTTTATTATACCTGCTTAGTCATTCACAAACACACAATCAGTCAGCTTAGCACATAAGCCCAGAAGTCCCTGGATTCATATTCATCCATGTAAAACTCCCAGACTCCAGCGCCGGTGAAGTCTTGGCTAGTTGTCTGACAACTTCTCAGAGAGAAAAAAATTGTCATACACATGACCTTTCTCTAAAATATTTTTTTACAGATTTTACATGTTGTGTTGTTATTTATACTTTTGCTAATCTAAGTTTACCAGCTACTATTTCCACTCAGTTACATCTACCTTTTCTTTGAGTCTCACCACATATATTTTCTAAAAATAAGGAGCTGATCCCTAAAATAACTCCAAGGTGGACAAACATGTATCAGCTTTCATCAACTTGATGCTGAACCATCTGTTTTTCTATCTCGGGCTGACGTAAATGTCTGGGCAGTTAAAGGAACTCTACGCAGGGCGCCCAAGTGCACTGTATGATCCTGATCTCAACACTATTTATTCGAAGTTTTGACCCCTCGACATGTGCAGAAAAAGATGGGACAAAGCAAACAAAACAATCTGCACTCAGTGACGCACGTTTGCTTACACAGCAGCCCACCTTCACATGAATAAAAATAAACCGTCTACCTGATGGTGGTAAAGTTTGCTAACAAATCTATGACAGTTCTGCCCTTCTTCCTTCTCAATGGAGAGCTGAGCTCCACAAACACCGACCTCGCTACTCCCACGGCTGAGCGGTCTGGTCTTGCCTGAGCCTCCATCCTTCCCAGCCTCCTCCACACTTCCCCCTCCCAGGCATCAGACCATGACCGCAGAGAATGTCTCTCATCCTTTCTCTACTCAAACTACTCCCCATCTGCCCTCTGCCCTCTCTATCTGTAAGAGCATGAGTAATTCTGTCATTTAGGAGTGTTTGCATGGAGTTACTGCGAGACTGTATTGATGCTCGGAGCTGCGTTGGCTTGATCACACCGTGACCCTGGTGAGATGTTCTTAAGACGCCCACATGTATAAAAGGATTATGAAGCACAAAAACAACAGGTTAAACAGGAGGGTGAGAGGCAGAAAATATACAAGAGATCATGTAATTTATTGAGGAGACAGTCACTTATTTGACACCCTTACATGCTTTTATACATTCATTACAGCAACAGTTACTCTACAAGTTCCACCCCAAAAACCTGATATAATAAAAATGATTAGATCTGCTATGTTTTTGAATAGAACTGACAACTAGATTATCAGGTAAACCAGTTAAGGGAGATCTTTATACTCTTAGTTCTGTGCTCTAACATGTGCGGGCAAATCATGTCTGAGGCTTATTCAGTAAAGGACAGAGTAATTTTATTTTAAATATAGGATGGTTCAGCACCTCAGACGGGCACTGGGTTGTTATGTTTCCCGCCGAGAGATGGTTTCCAAATCCTAAATCCAGTTGTGCATGTTTAAATAATAACAGTGAAGACAACATCAAATGACAGGCTGATTAAAAGGCACTGAGATCATGAGTGTGAGTGGTGGTGTGAGTATAGCTACTTAGAGAGTACACTCTCATACATCTGTAAGTATGACTGAGCATGAGGCAAAGAGAAATAAGGTCAGAACATAATGCTGTCATGAAAACATAACTGAATAACAGTATTTACACTGTTATCTAAACAGAGGTGAAGTTACTGGAAGGTCTGCTATTTCTGGGGGCCTCTTGCAGCAAATATCTCAAAGAAGATATTTTTGCTCTGCATGAAAGAGACTGTCTGACTCCCAAAAAGCATAATTCCTCTGCTCCACACCATCTCTTTTCTGTCTCTCACTCAAATGCCCTCTCATTTCCCTAACATGACGATGCAGACTGACAGTCGTTCGCAGCACAGCTAACCGATGACTCTGACTGAAGGGGAACTCCTCATTTGGGGGAGAAGACTGTGGGAATGGACATTAGCTCCCAAGGGTGGTGGAAGAAAAAAAAAATCAGGGAATTTCTCCCTGAGCAGCTTCGGTTGAGCTGCAGCGCCTCATTGAGAACTTCTCTGTGGCTGTGAGATGAAGTAGACAGCAGCCTAGGAGGTGCAATTTTGATCTGACCTCCTCCAGCTTCCCGTCGCTCTGCTGCTGCCGTGCCAAAGATGAGGCGATCTGTGCCTCCTCCAAAAAAGGCAGAAACATTTAAGCAGGAGTGTTCATCCTTAACTCAGCCCATACTGTCCCTTTGCAGGTCTGCTCAACAAAGACCAGACTCGCTGAGTGTGTACCTCACAGGGTCTGCTTTATAACAGGCCACAGTGTCGCTGTGCACTCAGTGCACAGAAGATGCATATCAGATGAGAGGCTTCCATTTAACATACTGTACCCAGCAGTGTTTACAGAGGGCTTTCATCGCAATGCACATCTTATTGCTGATGGATGATGATGACTGAGCCTGAGCTCTTACACCAGTTTGCATTTACTGTCAGGCATTTATACAAACACACAAGTGTTAGATTCCAACGGGAAGTGACTGCAGCCAGGAACTTGAATTATACTTCATGGTACTCTTTTATCGTGGTCAGCTACATCTTTGTTGTACCTTTTCAAAGACAAAACTATTTTGGTTTTAGGCTTTAGGCACCAACAGATAGTTTAGAGATAACAAAAACAAGACACCGATAGGCGAGATCAGCAAAAATTCAAATCACCACCCTTACCTGGCGAACAAGGCTGTTGGTTGTGGTGTCGGACGAGGTGCTTCCATCTGAGCCTTTAAAGCGACCTTTTCTCCGAGCTCCTTTGCTTTGAGACTTGAGACAACAAAAAAAGACAGGATAAAACTGTTTATGAGGAATCTTAAAATCTTAAATCTTAAAAGAATATACACAAGACCATGCAAACTAATACATTTTCCCCATAACAAATTTTAAGTTCATGTGCAAAAATGCATTCAGCAGAAAATAATATGAGACTCATAAGTCATTAATGTTTAGCAACAAATGCAGCAACTGTAGTTAGATCAATTTCATTATCAATATGTTTTCTCTATGAAAACTCCAAGTACAGGGTGAGATCTCAAAAAAGGTTGTGTCTGACAAAGATTATCTGTGATTATGAAAGCCAATAGAGCAATTTTAAGTTATCTGAGTGACCAGTTCTGCTTCCAACATTACAGCCTCCGTCTTCACTGATGAATTTCGTTGCATAGTTGAGTGGAGTTGGTGAGTCATTTCCAGCATAAAATAATTTTTTATACCAAAGCATTCAGTCAGTATTATAGCCAGTATCAGCCAAGCACTGACTTCCACTGTTTCTTACTTATTACAGATTTGAGTGTTTTCACTTAAGGTGTAATGTTATGACGTGTTTCAGGAGGTTAGGTAATCGTGTAGGTAGACAGCTTATTTTTCAAAAGTGGCATCCTGGAAAAGTAATGCACGAAATGCAAGAAATTCATTTCAAATCTGCTTTTTTTTGTCCCCCTCAGTCGAGACCCCTGGACAAATACCCCAGGACCAAACAGAGATATCACTATACCTGTTAAATAAACTCACTTTACTCCACAGAGCAATTATATAATTATATATAATTTATTATCATTTTTTCATTATTTTACCTGCAGAAATACACAAAACCCGTTTTAACATGTTTTAGACATTACAATGTTGTTAATAATGAAGGTACTATGTTTTTTCTTTGAGACTTCACACTAGCTTTAAACTTAAATGCCGCTTACCTGCCACTAAAACAGCCAAAACACCCATACATGCTAAAGCACCTAGTACTTAGTTACTTTCGTTTACACAGCAGTACTTTGAACAGAGTTCTTTTTGCATTACACTCGTAAATATGTAATTTCTACCACTGGCTTTACAATTGAAATACTTCCGGGAATATGAGTTAATTTGACGAGCGGCCTGGCTAGCTTACTTCAAAACGTCGTGATATTAAACTAATACAACATGTCAAACTATTTTCAGTCCCTGAACGTGAATATCCAAATATCAAACCTGACCCACAAATAAGTAAAAACAAACAAACAAAACAAAACAAAAAACAAATTAACAAAAAATAAAGATTCGCCCTCGCGACTTACGAACCTCAATCAAAACTTTAATGAGGCCACCTGCGCTCATCAGCACGCGCAAAGGAAGCGGACAGGTTGAGAGCAGGTGAGCTGTTTGACGTCTCTCAGCGTGCAGTGCCAAGGTTTAAAGTGGCAGTTTAACAGGAACTGTCAGCTTTAATTAAAATGAATTAACTCACTTGTAACATGGGATGTTCCAGAGCGTCCATGTGTTTGTCCGGAGGTGTTTCTGCTCTGTTGGTTGGGCTAATGTTGACGACCATCACACCATTTGAAAAACGCGGATATTCGGTAAAACCTCTCGGGTTGTACAGATGCTCCAGCTGTGCCCGAGACAAAAGCGCATTTTTACATAGTAGTGTTGAAGAGTTTAATGCTGCTCTTCAAGTTTGAGTCGAGTTAAAGGAGGAGCTTGTGCGAAAAATGGCTGTAGTTTTTCGCGAGTTCAAGATAATGGTGATGATGTGAGTCGTCGGATATTATAGCCTTCAGCATCACAAAGCCCCCTCATCAGTTCGCTCCTTCCTACACTAGCTGAGAGAGCGCTCCTGCTCCGTGAGCCCTCATCCAACGCCAACACCTCTCTGCCTCCTCACAGCGCAAAGGGATGAAAATGAATAGAAGCATCCAAACAGATAGTCGGCATGAACACGACTGAAAAGCGTCAATTCAGAGTAACTTTGATGATCAGAACTGAACAAGTGAGAGAAATCAGTCATAGCTACTGGGAGGTGTTTAAATCAACAAAACGATGCTGTTATTGTAATATAAACCTGATGTGGCCGCTCACAGGTGTTGGCACCAAAGTAGAGGTGCCACAGGGTGGTGGAGGTGGTGGTGGGGACAAAGAGAGGGAAGCCAGAGGAAATAAGACTATTTTATCAGAAATGAATACAAAAACAAAAACAAAAGAACATGCATGTAGCCCAAATACAGATAGTAAAATATGATAAATGTCTCAGCACAAGTAGTTAAAGTAAAATTACTCATGTCTAATGGCTCACTTCAGAATCATATACATGATAGATACTTCAATGATCTTTAATTTATTTAATAAATTATTGTATTGCAGCAGCACGATAAAGAGTAAAAACAGTGCAGTCTAAAAGAAATAAACCACAGTGTTAAAGTAAAAGTGCCACAGGTGCATAGTGAGGGTCTTATACTGTGACAGTGCAAAGTTTTAACAGGAATTTTAACAGTGATAAAAAACAAAACAAAGAAAATAAAAATTTGGTTAATTTAAAGAAGAGTAAAAAAAAATATTGGATCACAAAGACTGATATGTTATTATGTGCATTACTTGATTATTGCAGCTGTAGTTAGATTAAAATTGCTTTTTTAGAGCTAGTTCCCCTTTATCTAAATAATAAGCATGGAACCAGATGTAATGAGGAGAGGCAGATGTGACTGAAACAGAGGGCTCAAAGGCTGCCAAGCTGAGATTAAGTAGTCATTAGCCAGTGAGCCTGTAGCTTCATACCACAAACAGTCTTGCATTCTGAAGTACAACGAAGATATTTACTTTTTTTTCAGTTCAATATGATCCAAAATGAGTGACTGAGACCATAAACTCATGAGGAAAGTGTTCCACAGGTCAAGAGCCGTTTTCCCACAAACCTATACTAAAGGACTGGATGTTTTTTTTGCAATCACAACTATCGCCATCTGGTGGCCTTCACATAGAAGCAGGTTTAAGGCACTTTGCGTTGGCTTCTTTTTTTCTGACCAAAAAGCCGAATTCATTTTTTTTCTATGCTAATAGCATTTGGTGAAAGGAGTATGCTGCCACCACATAGGCTGTATATAAAAGATGGATGCAGCAAAAATGATGTCATATGTGGACAAGAGGGTGGAATACTAGTTACTTAGTTAGAATCTTGATTAGCAGTTCATAGACTGACTGGTTTGGTTTAAATGCACACACATGCTAATTAATGCTAATAACAAACTAGTTGGACAATTGTTGCTACAACAAGCCTATTTCACAGAGGTATATTTAACATTTTCTTGGTGCAGGGGTATGTCCAGTATCCATCTGGATACTGCGTTAAGCATGTGGTAGCTTTGACTGCGTCCTATAAATGAAAGTCAGCTGGACTAGGCTGTGTTGTTGGAGCCTCTTAATGTAATTATTTGACAAAATCTTGGTTTTCCATATTTGCTTCTTGTGTAATAAAGAAATGGAGTTATCCAGTTAAACTGGGATAGCCTAAAAACATATATATCATCATGTTATCATTTGGTGCAGGAAACCTGAAAATTGGAGCAGTGAGCCACAAGCTGACAGATGAATAATTCGTATTGGCAGTTAAGTACAGGCAGCATAGCTGGAGGATGAAAAAAAAGGGTGTTGCACCTGTTGACTATTTCATTATTGAATGAGCTCTTTTTGTAAATATGTCATATATATACATATACATATTTAGAAAATAATTAATTTATTGTAAATACAATAAATTAATTAATTAAATAAAAAATACCTTTCATATTGGATGACATACTTGTTCAGCCAGTAGTCCAAAATCCAAATATATTGTTTCTAAAATAAACTTGGCACTTGCCAGTAAGAAAATCTTTGTTTGGTCGATTATTTCTTTGTTGTAACAATAATTCCTGGTAATAAATCTTATACTGTTGGAAAGCCTGTTTATTCCCCATCCATGATGCCACATTTGTAAGGAAAATGCATTTGTGGGTTGAGCAGCTGGGTTGAGTATGGAGGTTGTACCATGAAAAAAAGCTTATTCTAATATTGAGTTTTGTTTGGTGTTGTTTATTGGATTGGATGATTGAAGTCTGAAGGAACGAGCCATATTGGCCATTTAACAGTCCATCCAGTTAACAAACAGGGACATCAGAGCAATGTGAAATAACCATACACAGCCACATCAGCCTGGCACCTCCTCCTCATGCTGGTCATCGGCTTGGTCACACACTGGTTTGGGATGGTGTCCGATTCTTCGGTGTGGTTGAGGTCAGGACTGCAGGCAGGCCGTTCCTTTCTCTCCACTCACAAATTTTGGTGATAGTCTCTGATAAATCCTGCTCTGTGGGGATGAGTGTCATCTTCGAGGATAGAGTTCAGTCCCAGACTGTGGAGATATGGGATTCCATTGTATGGTATGTTCCAGATTTTCTGGGTACAGAGCCGTCAGCCATATCATACTGGAGACTTTGACTGCAAAGCTGTAGAAAACTATTTACAGTTCCTAAATCCTGACAGGGTGGTGTTGTCTTCTTGGGACACTCATGTAGTGGCCTGTCTCAAAAATCTCCTCTTATGTGAAATATGCTCTTCTATTTGGAGATGGTACGCATTCAAAAAAAAATGCTGCAACTTGGTTTTGCAGAACACCAGCTTGAAGTTGCCCTGTGGCACAGGCCCTATCCACATTAGTCAATCATGGCATGCTTGGAGCAGACACCAATTGACCACTGTAGCAGGGTCCATCCTCAAAGGTGCTGCTAATCAGACACCAGTCAGTCACCTGATTGGCAGCACATGGGGTACAAGAAGCTCAGAATAAGTTATAGCAGATAGCAATCGCACAAATGAATTCTCCTTACAGATGCAGCATCATTTAAGGGGAAATAAAAAGGCTTTCAAACACTATGAGATTTATTGCCAAGAAGAATTGTTACAGCAAGGAAATAATTGACCAAACAGAGAATCCATACTTTTTGGGCTAAGTTTATTTTGAGAAAAGAAAGCAACAAAATTTCAGAATACAAAATTTCATGCATACCAAAGGAAAACCACCAGATTTGTATTAAATGAATCTTTCATCTGTTTTCAGGCTTGAAATGAACTTTTATTTATCAAATGACCACAAAAAAGAGGAAAATTAATAGAATCCTAGTAAGTAAGGTAATACAAACTTACACTAACAACACACACTGGACACTTTGAAAGGTACACCTTTCAGACTTACCTTACTCTAAATGTGGTATGATTGTTGGTGCTAGACAGGCTGATCTGAGTATTTCAGAAATGCTGATTTACTGGGATATTCCCACCTTTAGGGATTATAAATAGTGATCTAACAAAGTGAAAATATCCAGTCAGCTGCAGTTCACTGGGTGAAAATGCCTTATTGATGTCAGAGGTCACAGGAGAATGGCCAGACTGCTTTGAGCTGATAGGAAGGCAACATCAAATGAATCACTGATACAACCAAGGTATGCAGAGGAGGATCTCTGAATGACATCTCTGAACAAACTTGAAGTAAATGGGGCGAAGCAACAAAAGAACACACCAGCTAAGAACATACCGCAATTCACATGGCCTCAGCAAAACCGGACAACAGAAGAATAGAAATAATTGCCTTGTCTGATGAGTCAAAATGATGTGCCATCTCACAACGATCAGATCATCTAAAACTGGTTTATTGAACTTGATTATTAATTCTCTGCACTCTATTGTCCTACAGGGTCACTAAATCTCAGTTCAGTGGAAAACTTTTAAGATGAAGTGAATGGGAAGATTTACATCATGGATGTGTAGCCGATAAATCCAACCCAAAAAACCTTGCATTATAACAGATGCAACTTCAGGATATTTTCAGTGACAGATGTAAATATTAATTCATAATTTCTACTTTTTATTGTTTGTTGAAGTGTAGAAAGGTAACTTTTCTTATCGTTTCACCTGTATAAATGAGTCATTTGCTAAAACAAGGTAGTTTGAACCAGGTAAAGTGAAAGAAAGGAACTGCATCTACATTATATCCCTCGGTATGAACTTTGCAGTCTCGCACTCATGGTATAGTGTCTCCTGTAAAACCATGCTGGTGCTGAAGAATGCTATTCTCAAAAGACTTTAGAGAGCTCTGAAGTTGTTATTCATTATTGCCCTCTAGTGGTTTCATGTGCATTTGCATTTTAAAGGAGAACCGTAAGAACTGTATATAATAAGTTATGTGGGAGCAATTTCTATAAACACTGATGCAAAAAAAAGGCGATGGCCATGGTGGTGGATGCACTCTGAGTGTCTCACGTGTACCAAGACTTTATAAAACAAAAACATTGTATGCTGAAAACTATAGATTTATATTTTAGACCAGTTATGTATACTGTTATATCAGGACACAATGAGGTCCACAGGAGGTGATGTTCCACAGTATTTGGACCAATTATCAGTTCGTTAGTATCTTATTTTTGAGGTAAAGGTTCATTTTAGCAATGATTTCCAAAGAAAAAGTGAAAAATGTACATCTAAACAGGGGTAACAGTGCAGGTTTGTCTCATTATTATTATATGCTTCTTTTGTCTTTGTGTATTTAACATCATAAGGCATTCAACTGCCCTGTTGTAATATTTTGAGGGATTTTTTTGTTTGTTTTTTTAGCAACATTTGTAAAAAAAAAAAATTGTACTAGAAGAAAAAAAAAAGATTGATGGAATGAGTATATGTGAGTTAAAGCCAGTTTTTAAGGTGCTAATGTGTATAAAAACTAAAGCATTTCCCTCACTGTGTGGCAACTATTTGCTGATCAGATCTGTTTCAATCAAAGGGAAAAATATTTTTATGTTTCCTGTTCTCTGTCTCTCTAGTAGCTTTTTCCCATTGTTTGTGTGTTCTCCTGCCCCGATGACCCCCCGCAGCTGAGCTCTTCTTCTGAGAGGTCTCTGCTGAGCAAGTGAGAATACTCAGTGTTCAAACCAGCATGGCCCAAATAAAAGCACTTCCTTCATCCATCCTGGCAACAGTTACCTTGAAAACATGAGCATGCCAAAAAAAAAAATGCCTCTGTGGTGCAAAAGAGCAGATTTACACACAAACGAGTAGGCCTGGAGCTTTCCTGGAAGTGCTGAAGAGGCTGAGATTTTTAAAATAACAGCAAAATTGCTAGAATAAGAGAAAATTCAATGGGCTTCCTCCTATTGTCTGAACATTTCTCGGGAAGTCACAGTAAATGGTGTCAGCTCTTTCTGCCATGATAGCCAAATAATCTCATGACACTGTTTATGGAAATGACTTTGCAGTTAGATAATAAGCCCAGAATGGCAAATTAACATAATCAGCATAGAAGAAAGTAATCCCTCGCACGAATAAAGTAAATGCTCGACAGCTGTTTGCTCAAATTTTACAGAAATATGTTGATGCTGAGAGCACCAGAATTTAATCACAGCAAGCTGATTAAAGGAAAGAAAAAATCCATTTTTAAGCCCACTCGCTCTTTCAGTATCACAAATCCAATTTTATGTACAAATAAGTTGATTTGCCATGTTTCATTTATTTCATTGTGCTTATGTATTCATCACATTCCCATCTTCCTCCACCTCCTTCTGCGAGCCCACTCTGACCGGTAAAGAGCGTGTGCTCTGTGTGGGTCGGATCGCTGCGGAGTTTCTGTCTTGCACAGCGATGAGCGTTAGTCATCCAGGTTGGTGGATGAAGAGAACAAGTAGCTCAGGTGGGTGGAAGTGCCCTCATATTGGATCACAGAGAGGCCTCAAAAAACAAAGAACAATGCCTCTGAGATGAGAAGCAGAAGCGGAGCAACGTTTTTCAAAATAGGGCTTCAAAAATAACTGTAAATGATACCAGCTTGTGCCTGACAAAGAGGCTTAAATCCTTTTCTTTGTTCCTAATATTAGTTTCTCATCAAGCCAATTAGTTTGTGTATATTTAGAAGTCACCCAAACACACAGGAAATTATGCGGAATTCCTGAAAAGCACAACTCTTTATAATTTCGTGTATATCATGCAAAAAAAATAAATAAAGGAATTAATTAGAAATACATTGAATGGAGACTCAAAGGGATTATCTTTCAACGGGACAATATTGTTGAAGAGCAATACTGAAAAACTTTAGTGCTACTTTAATTGGAATTAAGTGTACAAATTTAAAACCATCTGTTTTCCCATATGATTTGGAAATTGGATGTGGCTATTACAAGCTCATCAAGTAAAATGTCCCTCAAATCATCTGCATCATTATATCAACAACACCCAAATTAATCTATTAATTTTCCAGTTAAAATTTTCATCAGTTTAAAGGCAATGGAAAAAAATAAATAAAAATGTTAATAAAAAAGGGAGCTTTACAATATACTCTTGATCATTGAATTTGATTGTCTGAGGCAACATGAACAACAGATGGTGCTACCAAAAAGGCAATGAAACTAGACATTTACAGTCCATATACAGGCACACACACTGTACCTAACATACAAAAATAAATCATCAAGTATAAAAAAAAGACAGGCTTCGCACCACAGTACATATATCTGATCCATTGTTGAGACTACAACATCATCAGCAATAATTATTCAAATCTACTGGTTGCACATGCTAAGAGATGATAACAAACCAGTTAATGGAAATTTAAAACTCTAGTACGACTCGGCATTTTGTTTTGGCTCAACCCTGTGAGGAAGATGCACACTGCATTTAAAATTTGAGTTCATGTTCAAAGAGCGCGAGCAACAAAAGGCAGGCCCAACCCAACAGGAGACCGAGGTTCTGGAGGAAAAACATGAGGCACGGTCTGTCGGTCTTTACTCGATTCATCTCTGGAAGCTGATGAAAGAGAGAAAATAAGAGTAAGAGCAAAACCTTCAGCAGTTTGGCAGAAATACAGGGTAGGGCTGGCATTATTCTCTAGTTTTCGTACTTCCACATAACCTCGTGAAAATAACAGTCAGCGATTTTCCCATCGCTCAGTACTTTCCAACTGTACTACTTAAGGTTTAAGTTTTAAACCAGAATTTACAAACACGCTAAGCACTCCATGACGCTGTTCTGAAGCACAGCTGGACTTTGAGCTTCTTGATGCTGAGGTCAGCTTACTACTAGTTTAACAGGTAAAACCTTTGTTAATCACACAAATTAGTGTGTTAGTACTTTGTAAAATAATATAAAGTGCACAGCTCAGGTTGATGGGAGTGCCGCTATTTTTGCAGGCATTTGGTCACATACAAATGCCTGCAAACTGATGACAGACAATCCTGAGAGACACATAGCATGAAAACAGGTTGATATACACACACCCCTAAAAAGGGCTCAGGTTTTGGTTCCTGATGGTCTCTTGGAGATTGGAATAATTTTATGTGCAATTTTTCATGATCTGCAAAAGCTGTAATTCTCAGCTGTTTGACCAGTTTTCCATTGGTTTAGTTTCTGCTAAAACAATATTTGAACTTGAATTTAGTAGTGGCATTAGAACACATTTAATGACTCTTTAAAGACTCCTGCTGGTTAAAATGCACTAATTTAACCAAAGTAATATCACCCATTTGTTTAGTATTTTGACTGTTTTTGTTTAGATTAGATTGAAGTGTATTAACTAACACTAGCAAGACTGAAACCATAAGCTATAGGGGTGCAATGCTACAGTATTAGCCTTAGCACACATGCTAAGGCTAATAGCAAATAAGGAAATGACTTTCACTCACTAAAACTATAACACAAAGCTTTTCGACTGGCCATACCACACAGTAACAATCTTATTCACATTATTAAATCTAAAATCATATTTATAAAGAGCAACACAGATGTGACAATTGTTTTTGTACAAAAACAACAACATTGTAATCTATTATTGAAGTTAAATGTTTGGAAGTCTATGGGAATTCGGAGCCATCATCTTGAAGGAACTGCATTTTTTAAACACTGTCCTAGCTGGCGTTTTAGAGCCAGCCTCCAAAGTTTCTGCTTGAGATCATTGGATCAGTTTAATGTTTTGTAAAGTGTTACTCAAACTGGAGTTCAAAAGTGCATTTAAGGGGGACTATTGATACATTGAGGCACTAGTTATTTCTGCACCAGGACAGAGGATCACTGAAAGTAAATTATGTCACCCAGTGCATCTGTTTGGGTCATTCACATTTGGGATTTTTTTCTTTACTGTTTTTGAACAACAATAAAGTTTTATGGTAGAGACACCGTAAATTACATCGTAGGTTCTGTCCTTTTACAGGATTTGCTGTCAACATGGAATGGCTAATAAAGAATATCACAAGCCATGTGCTTCACAAAACCTGGCTTACCATTTCCACCAATGACAAATAGAGAAAAATCCCAGCAGTGACAGAAAAGATCCACTGCTGCACTTCTGTCTCTGAAGAAACAAAAAGTCCGATGTAGAGCCCCATGAAGGCCGTCAGAGCGCTGAGAAAGTTCATTAGCACAGCAGTCTTCACTGAGAGTCCAGAGCTGAGCAGCACTGCAAAGTCCCCTTGGAGACAAAAAGCATACAAGATAAGTCAGCCAGTCAAGGAGAATAGTTTCCAAAAGATAACAAAGTCATCCAAATGAAAACACAGTGACCTCTCACCCATCTCATGTGGAATCTCGTGACACAGGATGGCCACAGTGGTCGCCATTCCAGTCTCAGATGAAGAGGAGAAAGCTGCCCCGATAACCAGGCCATCAGCAAAGTTATGAAGACTGTCTCCCACAATTACCATCACAGCCAGCAGAGAAACCCCTTGTCCTGGGAAGACAAAGAGGGCCTGTGTCAACAAACTCATCCTCAAACTGTAACAATTCCTCTGTCGTGCCAGGCAACTAATTACAAAGCACAACTCATTCATCTGCGTGTGATGGCGCAGCTCATTTAAAAAACAAGAAAAAAGAAGTTCAGCTTACTAGGATGTGAAGGACGCCTTGTGTTTGCATGCTCAGGAGACATTTCTGTACACTCCAAGTCATCCACGGGTCCCTGCAAGATAGACATACCTGTTAACACCAGGGATTCTTGAACATTTTTAGCCTTTGATTCAAGAGAGAATTGTAGAATAGTTGTCAAATTAAAGGAGATACATGAGACTTACTATCCAAAACAGGAAAAAGGTCTACAGTGACAGACTTTAACTTTAGTAGTAGTCATGGTGCCTTTAGCGTTAATATCAAGAAGTTATTCAGAAGTTGTTTCAAGTTATTTCCACAACACAATAAGTTTGCCGTTTGCAAACAATAACTTTCAATGTCTTTGAAATTGCACATCATTGATGTACAATATGAAAACCAGTGGCCCCGAGACAGAATCTTGGGGAACCCCACACAACAGATTTCAGTTTTGATTTTGTAGCATTTGCCTGGTAAACTGATTCCAGTTTTCAAGATAAGTGTTCCTACCAAAGATAATGCCAAACCTCTAACCCCATATGTGCATAGTTTGTTAAGTTAAAGGTTATGATCAACTGTATCAATTTTTTTTTAACTAAAAATACTCCCACAACATATTCTTTGTTTTCAATAGCAAGTTGAAGTTGAAGTTCAAATTTTATTCGCCACATGCAGTGGCAGGTTGCCCTGCAGTGGAATGAACCCGCCCCCCGACCACACACACACACACACACACAACACACACACACACACACACACACACACACACACACACACACACACACACACACACACACACACACACACACACACCACGCAACACAGACATCACATGGGGATACAAGTCAGAGAACGGTTGCATTACAGAAAAAACACTGAAATGTACACTACAATGGGAAAGGTACAAGAGGAAAAAAAGAGACCTCTACTCATGCTGGGCTATGGAGGACAGCATGAGAACAGGAAACAAAACTGTATCTATGAAGCCAATGAAAGTGTGTGTTGTGGTTCTTTTGGGTCTAAATCCTTATAGTACTCTGGAAGTAGAGAGATGAGCCTATAGTTTATGAGGAGATGTTTATCTCCAGGTTTACATATTGGCACATCCTTTGCAACTGGTATCTTTTCAGGAAATAAACCATATATAATGACAAATTACAAATGTGGGTAAATGGTTTCTAAATCCATATTCGTTAGGCTTTCCATGTGAGGGATCTACTCTCTGAGACCTGTTTGTGTATTTAAAAGGATCAAGTCCTGAGGTATTAAACTGTCTTTGCACAATTCAACAGCATGAAGTGATTGCTGAATGATTTAATACTTCTCATTCTCCAGCATCCTACATGTTCTGTTTCTTTACTCCCTCCTACACCACTAATCATTTTGTTATATAAGAGCAGTGCGGAAATTTTGGTGATTTCAGTCAATTTTTGATCAAGAATTTGGGGGAATTAATACTAAATAAAGTGTGATGAAAGATGGGATCAGGATTATGCCAAATCTTTGTACCGCCCCTCAACTTGTGTGGTGAATACCATTCTCTAGCACAACACTTGCTGCTTTCTTGGAGGTGTAATGGGGGAGTGAAGCATGACTGGGGTGAATGAATTTATTTTCACTTAAATAGGTCTCCTGTGTTACAGTGTTAGCGTACACATTTCATCAATGTGTTGACATGAGCAGAATTGCCTTACTATAGTCACAACTGTGTGTTTTATCACTAAATAAATAACATGGATGGGTATAGGAATGAAAATTTACCTGCGAAGAACAGTCTTTTTATTAAAACAAAGCAAAAAAACTGTTCACTGTGACTTGACTCACCAGCTGTATTGTGGAGATAGACTTGCCTCTCTGTGAGTGACCATTACAGTTCAAGGAAAGGTCACCGCCATGACCCTGCACACAAAAGAAATTCATGAGATCAGTTGCTGAACATGCACAGTCATAGAAATGTGTTTCTGCTTTTGCAAGACCCTTAAATGTTTAAGCCTGTGATGCACTGCTTCTGAGTAACTTTCTCAGATTCATCTTTTTTGTCATTAAATTGATAAAGGCTACAAAACAAAAGCCTTACATGACTATGAGAAGGGACTAGAAAGGAGAATAGTTTTTCAATGAGGAAAAAGCTGTAAATCCCAGCAATCACTCCCAAGATCTTCCACAAATAATCTTTTTCTTCATCATAGTCCTCATCACCATGATTGTGTGTGCTGTGATGGAGGCCAAGGATCTGCAAAGTAGACAGAGAGGAAACAATTTACTCCACACTCAAGCTATGTGTGTGGTGGGTTATAGTGGACGGTGCGGTGACCTTGTACCTGTGGTATGAGGTGCAAGAGAGCGTCTGCTGACAGGGTTCCCACTGCCAGACCAACAAACAGCTGCAGGATTAGTGAGTAGGTTTCTTGGCAGGAGTTGAAGAAGATCAGACAGATACCAAACATGGAGCCCACCGTGATGAGAAAGACAGCAGCTGTGCTGTAGCCATATTCTGCAGGAAGGAGACAGCTTTGCATAAAACACCAAACCAAAAATGTAGTAAAGAACAAGTGATTTGTTATGTCTGGCCTTCAGAGGCAAGTGCAGCTGATTCGGCCTCTGCAAGCCACTTTGCAACCCACCTTAACGTCAGCTCATCCGTACACTGCTATTTATGCTATTTCTAACTTAGTCAATGTCATGTTCATTGCTGGTAAGAATTGCAACTATTGGTGTGTTTTATTTAGCTGAAACTGTAGCATGTTGTATTTATTACAACGTTGGTTTGTGAAGAGAAACAATCAGGTAAAGCGTCTTACTCTCGAGAGCTGTGGGCAGAGACCCTCTTGTTTGTTGCTCTTCAGGCTCACAGGCATTGCCTAGCAACTGCTGAATGATGGCTGGGCAAATTTGTCTGAAGTGTTCCTTGGAAATTGGCAAATGAGGATCCAGAGCAAAAATATCCACCAGCTGATTGGCTGAAAAACATACCTGATTGGAACAAAAAGAAAGGGCAAATTTGGAAGTGAGTAGGAGGTATTTCAAATCAAGTCTCACTGTGCCTGAATGAAGTTTTTCATTCAGTGTTTTATGGTTTTCAGTACTTTTTGTTTGTCATAACCCAATCAAATATTTATCTCACCATACCTGTGCCCAGTCACTGTTTATTCCTTCAATTCCGGGGTTGCAGCTATCTTGCAAATCCCTAGCCACCTTCTTTGAACCTACTATGATGCCTTGTCTCTTCCTGTTGCCAGAGTGCATCCCTCCTTCCCGTCCTACTCTCAGCTGATGAAGCAACTCCTCCAGGTCTAAACAGATAAATGGAACACAATATATCAGGGGTCAGTGCTTTAAACCAGCATTTCTTTATTCATCGCTTAAAAAGACAAATAAAAAGATGGGGACAAACTGTTTTGAAATCCAGTACATCAGTCATTTCTTGGTGTGACTGAACCTCAAATTAACCTGCATTTTTTACTGTCATGAAATAATTTTAACAATTTTCATATGTGTAAGTATAGTTTTATAGTACTGCCTTTGATGCAGTATTTGAGCATCTAGTCTCAAGATAATCGGTTCCCTCTTGGAGCATGTCTGTTAAGAAGACTTACAAAAAACAAAGAACAGCTAAATCCTCTATTATTGTTCAATAATCTTGTAATAATCATTAACTGTATAAGAATGATGGACATAGCTTCCTGCATTCTTTCCAATAGCCAGCAGGGGGCGACTCATCTGGTTGAAAAGTAGTATGATGCTTTATCACCTTAGTGAACACTCTCCTGATGACTTATTTAAAATAGTATGATGTATGTGATGGTCTCCCTTAGAGTCAAAAAGAAGCAGGATGCGTTTTAGGACAGGCATCCTCTGTGACTGACTCGTCACTCCCTTAAGGGTGTGCAATATTTCCCAGTGTCTCAGTCAGATCCAACCCAGTATTGTGATTCGTGGCTTTAAAGCTGTAATTGCTTCACAGTGGAACTTCATGTACCAATGGGTAAGGTCATGGTGGCTATGACCATATTTTATATAGAGGCTTTAATATGAACAATGGATCCACTGGCTGTTGCTAGTAGAAAGTGTTTGAATTGTCCCACCTGTGCCTTCAATCAGGCAGTGGTTATATTCACATAGTGGGTAAACCAGCTGGTGAACAAAACCATATTTAAAATCTAAGGTGTCCTTTTCTCAGGCTGAAAATGGAGCTAAAACGAGAGCATGTGTTGTACAAAGCTAATGCTGCTTTGCATTTGATGTTTCTATAGGTAATGGTGTGTAGCTGTGGTCTGGAAGGAAAATATACAAACATGCTCTTTTGAACTCACCCATAATCTGCAGGTTACTTGTGCAGTTAAGAGAATGAAAGATATAATCTGTAAAGAAGGCAGGAGGTGGCAGGTTTCTCTTTCTGAAACAGTGGCCTTGGAGAATATGGCTAATGATGGCTGCGGCCACTCTGGGAACAGCAGATGTACCAGCACCTGGATTTCCCTTAACATCAGCATCTTCCAAGAGATGAGCTGCATCGATGCACTGTGGTATGGAAAAACTGAATTATTTATATGCAGGCGTATGCACGGTAAAAAAAGATATATCTGTCAGAAAATGCTCTCTCACTTGAGAACTTGAGGGTATATGGTGGCTGGATGGCTCATAGTGTTGGTTGATGACCTGCAGGATGCTTTCTGTTTCATTGGATGAAAGGAAGCTGTTGTCTTCAGCTGGATGTAAGTTAGTGAGGGCCAGAAGATAGAACTGAAAGTTCCCAGATGAGGAGGAAAAGGAAGAAGGAGGGGGGGCAGCATTTGACACACACAGGTCTTGCAAGTTAATTATATAGTACAGCAGGACAGTTGAGATCTGCTGGTAGTTCTCCTCAGTGAGGACATCCTTCCCATCATCCTTCAGCACGGAGAGGGCTATGTCTGGTGTCAGGCACTGTAACAAGGACAGGAGCGATTAAAAATAATAATTATAATTTTTTTAATACATTTTATTTAAAGGAAGTTGAAAAAATCTAGGTCATGCTAACTTTTGAAAGATGTTGTGTTGATAACAGCACTACTTTTTCTCTGCACACAATGTTCTGTTCTTTGCTTCTTGGAAAAGAAGTGGTTGAGACCAATTAACCCCACATGCAGGTTGCAAACGTTTGAGAGAGTGAGTGAAGCACTGTTTCTTCTGGGAAAGAGCTGGATATTCACTGAAGAGAGATAAAAGCTACTCTCTTAATTACTAAATCTTAATTTAAAAGTTTGACGCAGACATCCTTATCTTCCACGTCATGCTGCTCTGTTGTATCTTAATTGCCCCTGGGAGATAAATAAAGTCTTTCTGATTCTGATAATCACACTGTCAGCCCAGCTGCACAAGCATGAGTAGTACCTCTAAATCCACTCTGTAGAGTTTATTATGTCAAACGGAGGGATGTTTAAAGCCACGAATGCTCTGTGCAGGTCAAGGACTTAAGCCTCCACATCCACTCACATTCCAGCCATAACAAACATTTTTCCTGCTGTGTGTTCAGGAAAAGCATTATTGCCCTTGCTCAGTTTAGCACTTAGTGACATTTTAGTGATAAAACATTTTAAGACAGGTGTAAGCATTACCTTCTCACACATGTCCTGAGAGCTGCCCGTCCGCTCTGTGCAGCGCACTGCCTGGAGAAGTGTGGTGATCAGTACACTGGTTCTGTTCTTCTGGAGTTGAGCCTTGTTGTCCGGCCCCACGGGCAAATTCAAGGACTTGAGAGCCTCCTGCAGGTACCCCTGCTCCTGCCCTTTCACTTCCAGCATTCTCCCAAGAGGACAAAAATACAGCAGTAGCAGCAGCAAACACCAAGTACTGCTCATGAAGTACATGTTCCTACCAAGGTCGTCAAACTCCCTCACACTTCCAGGACTGGCTAGAGGTTTGAGATGACAAGGAAGTGAGACATGGAAAACAAGAAAACAGAGAGAGAGAACTGTATCAAGGTGAATGATGGCAGAAGGCTACTAAGAAAGGCAGTGATGTTTTTTAGACAAGGGAGGTGCTAATAATAGGCACAACTGATCTGACGTGAACTGGACGGTTCGGAGGTGAACCAGTCCTTACAGTGCCGAATGGTCAGTAAAAGCCTGGGCCCCTCAGTCCATAACAAAAGGATTAGTGCAGGCAAGTGAAAGAGAGCACAGGGGCAGGGAGACGGGGGCATGAGGGGGAGACTGTAGACAACATAATTAGTACTGAGGAAAAATAGGGACCGGATAGAAGCTGTTAGAAATGTAAAGAAATAGCTCAAACAGAGCCACATCTGAGATATCTCCTCTTAAGCAGTAGGTATGTGGCACAGAGGCGGACACTGTTACCTTTTTGATTTATATCTCAGTTTTTAGAGCAGTCCATGGATTGAATTGTTTTCCTAATTTAGCAGCTTCAGTTGTAAAAGAGAAAGGGAGAAGGTGATGTGAGTGAGTGCATGTGGTGTGATGATCATAAGCACTCCATGTTTAAGCACCAGCGATGCTCATATCTAAGGTTTTCATATTATGCAGGATCTCTGAGTAATCAAGGATCAACCATGCACTGCAAAACACGCTAAGCTTCCCAACATCCTCCTACACTGGAAACCCTGCAGGTCGATTCGACCCGGCAACAAGAGCACATAGTTTATTGTTTAAAAATTCCTGTAAGCTACAATAACACCTGAGAGAGAACAGATGAAAAAGCTTACCCGATGTACCAGGCCTATACCGTTCTCCACTCTGCTCCAATCAGCTGCTGTGACGAGGTCTGTTTTCCTCCTAGGGTGAAGGTTTTCCTGGTAGGGCAGACCAAAGATCCAGTGCTAGTTTGGGGAGAATTTTTGGGCATTGGTGCTGCCGGTAAAACCCTCTTATGAGAAGTGAGTAAGCTCCTGAAGATTAGCTGCGACAGCCTTGGAGGGCTGTAGTTACCATGGAGAGTGCTGCCTCATTTTCAACAATAAGGTGATGGTGGGGGGCTGGCCTCTAGCAGGGGTGACTGAATGGCTGAAGCCTGATGGAGTAATACTTAAAAAGCTCCCTTAGGAAAAAAAGGTTTATGCATAAATAGACTTGCTTTGCTGTGTTTCTCTCTCTTTCTGTATTTTTTCTGTCTCTCTACATCATGTATTTTCTTTTTTTATCAATACATATCACATCCCTACAAAGAAAAATCCATAAAAGTTTCAATTCATGCTCTTAATCCTGTCACTGTGAGCATCTATACTGCCAGAAAAAACAGGTGTAACACAGGCTATGAAAAAAGAAATATTGTTCTTGGCTGTGACAGCAAAGTGCTCACACTTATGCACGCCGTGTCTCGTGTATAAGATGGACAAACAAAAGCCATTTTCAAAAGTTTCTTTAGATTTGTAGATAGAGGCAAGCAGTGAGTTTTTCTGACCTTTCTAATGCAGAACAACATCTTCAATGTAGCGTTAATGGGATCCTGGTTGTGCTCGATAAATTAAAAAAGAACAAGGGTGTTTGCTCAGGAGGGACTCGTGAAATGATCTGGCAGCTTTTTATATAAAACGGGTATGTCAAACTCATTTCATATTCGAGGGCCACAAACAGCCCACTTTTGTAAAATCCCTATTTTTGTCAGGGCAAAGAAGTTTAAGTATACATTTAATCCCAATCTTAGTATTAGAAAAAGAAGTTAGTGCAATTAATCTGTCTCAGATTTTCTATGTTATAGGTAATGAAAGAAATCTGTCAGCATGACTCTTAAATTAAAACTGTAAGGGGAAAAAAAGCACGTGTTTAACTCAGTGACTGTCTTATAATCATAAAACAAAGGTTTTTGTCAATTCGCAGAAAATGTCTTTGACTTTTCTGTCATTTAACTGTTTATCTATTACTTACTTAATCTGGCGTCGTATGAATGGCAATGGGAGAGATCGCCATCAGTATAAAAAGCTGTGAAAGTTGTAAAATTGCAATTCAATGCCCTCCTTCACAGTGTCCCATGAAATCCAGCGGGCCATATTGAGTCTTTGCCAGGCATGGCCATGGAGTTGGACCCAGCAACAGGTGATTCATATTGAGGCTGATGAAAGGCTTTTTGTTCCAATGGTTTATTGAGCACTTAGTTTAAGACCATGGTGACTGTAGGCTTAATATACTGTGGACTGCTAGTTTGTTTTGTGTGCTTTTAGGTTTTTCTTGTCCTGAACACCCTGGAGTGGTTTTTATAAATAAAATGTATTTTTTTTGTCCGCCTGTACTTACCACCTCCCTGCCATCAGGTGATTAGCTGCTCTCCACCTGATGGAGAAGGACCTCTCTTTCTTTCCTTTCTACACATGGTTACATAAACATCACAGTGGAAACTAAGCATGTTGCCTGCAGCTCTATTAGATTCAACTATTCATGTTTACCATAACTTAGTGGAAATCAGCCCAGTCTTCATGTATATCATGGCTCTAAATAAATACTATGCTTCTATTCATTCACTTAAAAGCAAAAAAAATGTAATTTTTTTCTTCATGTTTTCATATTTTTTTAATCAGGCTTTGATTTAAATGCCATAAAAAGATTTGTCAAATAGCACTAAAATTCACTTTTTGTCATTCTCATCATTCATTAAAACAAAAGAAAAAAATTTGTACACATTTCACATTTTGAAAACAAAAACGCAATAATTTGTAATCACTATTTTTCATACAAATCGTACAATTTCCTCAAACCCCCCCCCAACCAAACAGTTCCAGTTTCCAGAGAAGTGATCCAAAATATAAACATAAAATGAAAACAGAAATCTAATTTTCATGGGGTTGATTGCCAGTAGTAATACGATGGCACTAGTCCAAGATGGCGGCCAACCAAACCGGTTTGACAACCGGTTTGACCGGTTTCGTGCGTGTGCGCATGCGCGTTCAGGTGTGCTACCGGTTATGCTTGTTCATTCCCTCTGGGCGGGAACGACTCCTCCTAGTGGGATGTGCTAGGTTGTATAGGTATAAAAGTGATCCTTTCACATTCTAAGAGCATCACCGCCACGGCCTGAGGAGCACCGACACATCGCGCTAAGGATCCCCGACGCATCGACCTATGGAGCTCGGAATGACATCAGCATCAACCATGACACCCAGCCAGGACATCGCCCATGCCACAGCCGCTCTAGGTATGTCTTCAGGAGTATGCAGTCGGGGTCCTCAACGTAAAAAGCAACGCTGTGAAAACGCTGTAGATGGGACTGTATTTAAGTTAGAATATCGAGGCGCCGAAGGGTATGTGTATGCCATTAAATATACCGAAGGGGCAGTTGTGCTTAGTATAGATTGTGGCGAGGGATTGTTTTGGGGGGAACCCCAAGTCATGTCTACTAAAAACTGGAAGCTCTTCCGCACCGTAGTGTGTGCGGACCTGGACAATGTGGGCTTCCCAGAGCTGCTGTATGTTTCCCAGTGGAACAGTGCATCAGGCCCTGAGCTTTACAGGGTTGAGGCTGATTGTTTCAATCGCAACCCAGACGACTTTATTTTTCTCAGTGTATGTGATGACAGGGAGAGTCTTATTGCTTCCAGAGGGCTTGAAAACTGGAGGTTAAATCCTTACCCTCTAAACCTAGAAGAGCGCACAAGATGGTTTAAGGACTTGTTTTTTATACAGTGGTGCAACTGGAGAGGTTTGTCGCGTCTGTTTAGCCAGATTGATGACGCGATCAAGAGGGACAGACTCAACACTGCATACGAGAGTATTAGAAAACGCCTTGTTTTTGACGATCTGGCGAGTTGTCTGATGACTGGTTTGCCTGCTACCCTGTGCAAACCTAAAATCATAAGACCTTACGACAACTAAACAATAAACTGGTAGGTTTAATGTGCGGGTGTGTTGGGGTTGAGTGTGTATCTATGTGACAAATTAAGAGGTTGTGGTTTTCATTTTACAGAGCATGACATGCACTCGTGGGACCTGTTGGAGTCACCATCAACAGCGCTGCTAATCCCGACCCCCCAGACTGCAGACCTGTGGGAGGAAACTGTAATCGACATCAAACTCGCAACTCTCCACCTGTTGATGTTGGCATTGAATGAGTTTATACAAGAGACATGTTACGGATGCCAAACAGGCCACCCCAGTCAGGTGCAACACAGCTGCTTGCAGGAATTGTCTGAGTATTTCTTCGACACCTACTATGATGATGTGATGATAAGGCTCCAGACTGACCGATTCATCCCTGCCATCCGGCTGTTTGTACGCTCATCCACTGCAGATGGGTCTGGAACACAAATCCGCAGAGTTGCAGAACACATCATGTGTGAACTGAGATCAGAGCGATATATAGTATGCGCCATTAATGACAACATTGGGCACCTGCTAGATGCGAGTACTTGTGCCCGCCGTGTTAAACCAGCCATGCTCCGCATGATTGGAAACTACTGGGCTGGGTTACATCTGGTTTAATGTGTGCTGTTCAAGTATCCATTGTCTGTGATTGTGTCTTTGTGAAAATTAAATAAAAAGACTTGTTAACATCAACATCTTAGTCATTTGTGGTTTGTAAATCATGGAAAGCACATTGCATAAAATATATCATGATCCAGCCCATCCTGCGGGGTTGGCCAGTTTAAATAAGCTACGTATAGCAGCAGGGGAGGCATCAGATGTAACACCTCCACTATCTCAGGTCAAACATTATTTAGAACAAGACGACACTTACACACTCCACAAACCTGCGAGGATCCATTTCCCCAGAAATAGAGTATTGGTGACAGGGGTCGACAAACAGTTTCAAGCCGATCTGGTTGACATGTGTGAATATGTGGCAGATAATGATAATGTGAGATATCTGCTAACATGTATAGATGTATTCTCAAAATACGCATGGGTTAGATGTCTAACAAACAAGACAGGGACTGTTGTATCAGCTGCTTTTGAGGATATACTTAGTGAGGGTAGGATCCCTGTGAAACTACAAACAGATGAAGGCAAAGAGTTTTATAATGCAACTTTTAAACAGCTAATGAAGCGATATAATATCAAGCATTTCTCAACAGCTAGCGAGGTTAAATGCAGTATTGTCGAGAGATTCAATCGTAGCTTCAAGGGTAGAATGTGGAAGTACTTAACATCAGCCAACTCCCGGAGATATGTAGATGTCATACCAGATCTCACACAAGCATATAACAATGCTTATCACAGATCTATCCAAATGGCTCCGGCAGAGGTGAATAAGCATAATGAGAAGTCGGTCTTTAACGCGCTGTACAAAACGAGGCCTCAGAGGGAACTGCGCTTTAAATTTAATATCGGTGACACTGTACGAATATCAAAACTGAGAGGAAAGTTTCGAAAAGGATACGAGCAGACCTACACCGATGAGATTTTCACAGTCAAGGAACGTATAGGGAGACAGCCCCCAGTGTACAGACTAGTGGATCTAGCAGGAGAGGTATTGAAAGGCTCATTTTATGAGCCTGAGATACAACGTGTGGTTGTTGATTAAAACAAAACATTTAAAATTGAAAACATATTGGCTAGAAAAAAAGTGGGTCGGAAAAAGCAGGTGCTAGTGAAATGGCTAGGATGGCCCGACAGCTTTAATTCGTGGATTCCAGAAAAAGACATCGTTGAGGCGTAATTAACTCAGATGACGCAGCTCTACACACATTCATTCAACACTGAGCATAGACTGAGAAAACATGAATAAAAAGAACAACAATGCAGGCTTCTATGTAAGCCTCTTCTCGAATGCTTCAGCACATGTTTACCCGGGTAATAAAATATCTAATTTTAGAACAAAGCTAGCAAAACCTATTGTTTTGGATCAGCTGTATGAGGTCGCTGTTATAGAAATACAGTACCCACGCTGTTGTGTTGGGCTCTTTTAATAAAACTCCTCATTTAGGCGATAACGTGGAATCCCACCATCTTTATTCCAGCTCACTCCATCCAAACATAGCATCACTTCCTGTCTAGAAGGGTAAGTACTGCCGCCTAGTGGCGCATGATATACCTCAATATAGATTACACCACATCCCCCTTACTGAAGTCAGACTGGTACATTCTTTTGTTCTTCAAACAAAACATAACTGCATATAGTTTTTTCAATATGGCATATCCCAACATTTCAAGAAACAAAGTCAGTATTGTCATAAACACTTTTTCTTTTCCTCCTGTAACTGAATAAACACTCTTTTTTTTTCTTTTCAACCTGTAACAGAATAAACACTTTTTTTGTCTTTCCACCAAACCCTTAAAACCACAACTTAGCATTTGAAACACACTTTTCCGTTTTCAAACAATCAGCTTCACAGATCAAGTCTTTTCGGTTTAATCACCTCCCTACCAGACCGGGTTCTAACCAC